TCATTTACAGAAACATTTTTCCATTAGATATACTGACATATTGCGTTTATCTCATAAAGTCTACATAAAATCGGTAACTTTATAATTTCAAAAAGTTATTTTGTTGATCGTAATAACCATTTTTACTACTATAGGTTTCAATTTAATATAATTACGCTTAACAATGCCTCGAAAAAAGTGTATAGGAGTGTCAGCTGATCGCAAAAAACGTAATTGCCTTCCAATAAACCAAGATATGCAACAACGGCAGATATATTTGCAATTTAGTAGTGTTTTGGTGCCATCATATTTTCAGCAATTAAGTGAAGATGTCAGTGCAAGGAGGCGGCAAGAAAAGCTACCAAAGACGTATTGCGGTGCACGTATTTTCCTTAAAGACGATGAGATAGAATCAAATAGTGTTGAACGCATGGAGAAGATATGGGAGTTTTGCTCAGCTAAACTTTATCCAGGCGAGGCAGCTGATAATACTGCATCCATCTGTTGTCATAAGAGCTAGGTGAGTTTACCACCAATTTCTGTCCGAAAGAACTTATTGAGCGCAATGATGACATCACAAAAAACTATTTGGAGAATATACGTAAATTTAACAACGCTCTTGCGTTTGCTTCAGTGCAGGTGAACTTTGACAATATACCGGGTAGAGGACAATTTTGTTTTAAACTAGAGTAAGACGATTCTCAGATATTATTGTTTCTGTTAAAGAAGCATTTAATCAAAAAGTTAATTCTGAATATATTTTATTACAAAGATATATTGTAAGTGACACCACATTTCCCTCAACTCATGACACTCATATATCAGTCAGTTTGTAATATGTTTTTATGTATGTACCTAATAAGTATAAGTTCTGATGTACTATAAATCTCATTAATGCTTTGTAATATATGTATAATAAAAATAAGGGGTTTATAAGAATAATTATTTCCGCGAACTATTAGAACAGTCTGCTTCTATCTGTGGCTACAAAGAGGGATGAGTTTACTGTATATTTCTGTCTGCGCAGACTGCGCATGGGCCCTCTTGTCCATAATTATTGTTATTATTATTTTTTATTTTTTTTTATTGTTAGTTGTCTATAATTTAGGCTCTTCTTCGGAGTCTGAGACAGACATAAAATATTTGTCTGCTGATAGAAGTTGCTGAGTTATATTGCTGAGTGGAGATGCGCTAGTGTTGGTTTGTGTGTTGATTGGTGCTTTGCTGAAGTGTGGTAGTATACATTCAAGTGAAGTGTTCGTTGTTGTTTTCTTAATGCTGTCGTTTGCATTTTTGTTCATATTGTTAGTAACTTGGGTAGTTGTCCTTTGAATAGCGGTGACGTTGTCGGTTTTGCTTTTGTTTGGAGACGTATGAGTTTTTGGTATTTTGGTCGTATTGGTTTTTGTTGGTGAAGCAGATCGTTTGAATGTTGTTATTGTTGGCGTATTTGATTTGTTAGTATCTGATCGGCAGATGTTGGAATATGTTTCTTGAGGTTTTTGTACATGATTTAAACATTCGCTATATTTGCGGCGGGCTTCGCCCATCGAGCACTTTTCGATTTTTTTTATTTTTAAGATTTCTTTGGTTTGCTTATATCTAGGGCAGTCTCTATCCGAAGAGAAGTGAGCTTCGCCACAGTTTGCGCACTGTTTACGTGTACATTCTGTTGGGGAATGGGGTGGTAAGTTGCATCCATCGCATGTGCTAGGGTTAGTGCATCGGGTTTTTGTGTGGCCAAGAAGTTGGCAATTCTTGCAGCGCATCGGGTTTGGGTAATAAGGGGAACCTTTTACCTTGTACCATGCTATGTCCAGAGTTTTTGGAAGATGGTATAAGTCGAAATTGACTGCCATTTTTCCAGTGGGCATTGTCTTGCCATCGAGTGTGCGAGTGAATTTGTAAATGCCTGATACTCCCTGACTTTTTAATTCTTCGATGATTTCTTCTTCTTGTACGAAGTTGAGACATGGGGCATAAATCATACCTTTTACCGTGTTAAGGTTTTCTTGCAACTTGACCGTGATAGGGCACACGTTTGATAGAGTTTTAGTTTTCAGAAATTTATTTAGAGAGCCGTCTTTTAGTTGTTTGATGCTATCTATTTGGGTTGATATCGCATCAATACCCTTTTTTATTATAAACGAAAGTTTTGCTAATTGGTTGTTAGTTGATGATATTGTCAAGTATTTTGGTTGGTTGATTGCTGTTTGTTGTTGGTGTAATGTAGGGAAAATGTGTGTTCGCTAAGCATTGAGCAGCGATTTGTTGTTTTGTCCAGGGTTCGTATTTGCACACACATGCTCTGCTCACACACACGCCAGAAACACATTCAACTTGCACTCACTGCTCATACACATGTGTGTGCATAAGTGGAAAACAAACTCTACTCACAGAAAAGTGTGTGCTGTTTGTTATTAAGCACAGCACATGTGTGTGAGCCGATTTTTGTACAAATTTCAGCCCATGCACATGCACATAATATATTCTTAAAAGAATTTGTTTATTAAACGTTATTTTTTTAAAGACTATTCAATGAAAAGTGAGATGTTGTTTGTTTTTTATATGACAGAAAACATATTAAAAAATTATTTCAAGATTTGAGTTAGAATTCGAAGTGTATAAGTTTCTCTACGCATAGCACACACATGTGCGTGTGCTTTACATTAATAAAAAGAAAGTACACACATGTGCCCGTGCTTTTTACCAAACGGCACACACATGTGATGTGAGCAAATTTTTAATTTTTTATATGCACAGCACACGTGTGTGAGCTTAAAATGTTAGGATGTGCTGCACATGTGTGTGCAAATACGAACCCTGGTTTTGTCCGGTGGTTCAGGTGATGGTCGCATTTTATGTGTGTATAAATGTGAATGTAGCGATTTTTTGTATAGTACGATGCACTTGTTTGTTACTACGAAAGTGTAATAAAACGGAAGAGTGAACACTGTGTATGATTGTTGTTTGTATTAGGTGCGTTCGTTTAAAATCTCCAGCAGAAACCAACCTACTGCCAAATTCCGGCGAAATGTCATCTGTTCGCTCACAAGAGAGAAATATCCAAAATAGTACGCGAACAGAAAATTTGCAGAAACTTGCAAGTTGGACGAACAGCTGATATAATTTTTGTTTACATTCAAAAGTGTAAAATTTAAAACGTACGAAAACTCATTACAAAGTGGTATCCTGGCACAGTTTATTGATTAAACAAATAACTACTTATTTCTTACAAATTTAATTAGTCGCATTTTGAAATTTTTATCTTCCAAACCATCAAATTCAATTTTGTGATTTGCGTAAATGCCAACCAGCTGTTTTTGATCAGCTGTTTTCCTGTTGGCAAATTGCTGTTGGCAAAAATTTTTCCAGCAGAAACCAGCAGCTTCCCCTCAAAATGAAATGTCAGTTTGCTCTCTCAATTTCCCCTACTTTGCAAGTTTTTTGCGTACGCGAACGCAAAAACTTGTAAGTTTTGGTTAAACATGAACAATTAACAGCTACGCGAACGAACCTATTATTTATTCGCTACCGACAATGGCACTTGCTAACACGTCCGAACCGGTTGATAGTTAGTCGTTAGTATTTTTTCCACCAAATTTGGTCCCCATAAAGCGCTAGTGTTGCCAGCAACGCTTTTTCGGCAATTAGGGTATGTGCAGCTATTTAATGTGGTGAAAATTATTTATTCACATGAAATTGGAGATAGGGCTGATAGATTTACTTTAAATAAATTGTGAATGTTCGAAAATATCTTTTCAGCAGATGAATATGTTTTTTAACTTTTTTCCCGAAAATTTACATACATGCTCGAAATAATGCGAGTAAAATTCAAATATCGTCCCTTGGATGGAAAATTGGCGGAAGCGTCAGTTTGACAATTTGTAGTTATAGATGCAGTTATATATTTTAAAGTCAAATATTTCGATTTTTTTTTAACTGGTTTTTGGATATCTTCTTTAGTTTCCGAGTAATTGACTAAAATGTTTTCGGCTATTTGGTACAAATTGCGTTAGTATTGCTGTCGTGCTAAACTAATCAAGATCTTTCAAATAGAGTTACCTATTCTTCTTTAGTTTCCGACATATTCAGCCTTATCATGAGTTTCATTTTCTAGAACCGGCTCGCTTTTTCACTTTTCGTTTGCGTGTATTCACTACAGGTGGATGAAAAAATTGTTGGCGAAATTTTGTTCGGGCGAAACTCACGATTAGGCTGATTAGTAAAAAGCATCGTTAATTTATAAAAAATTGTTATCACATTTTGGCGTATATCATTAAAACTGATTGAAAATTTTTTGACAAATGTCATATACTACAAAATTTTATTAAACTCAGAAATGGGTGACACTAAACTCAAAAAATAAGATAATTTAAGAATTTCGTGAACTAGTACATAGCATTCTCGGACACTTTGGAGAAGATCTGTAGTCGTGTTTCTGAGAAAATGCATTCCAAACTTCAATCGGCAGTTACCGAAAGTAACTTGTGACAATCTTTTATCCAGGCGACGATATAACAATTAGCTAAAATATGCATCTGTAGGAGTCGAAAAGGTTTAGGAGTAGAATGTACGTGTGCTAGTTTAAGCAAATTGTTTGTAACTAAAGTAATATTAGTTGGCAACCCTAGCTTTTAGGACTAGTAACTCGTTGTAACTAGCGATTAAGACTCGTTGTAAAGGACCCGCCATTTTCAGAATAAAAAAAAAGAGATTCATTCGATTTTTGCCAACGAACACTTCGGACTT